TGTGTTGTTCCCACTCACCATGTGTTCCATATGTTAATATACATAGAATATATCAATATATTAAAACTATAATGTTAAACCACATAAACCTTTACAGATGTTTTGGAAATAAAGCTCAGAATAAGAAAAAAAAGAACAATTTCAGTAAAAGCAATTTTCACTTTGCTGCGTTTGTAGTTTTTGGAATCGCTACAGTTTTGTCCAGAAGACACAGCAACCTTTGTTTTCATCCCACACTGCGTCTGTGTCAGCCTGCTCTTTCAGCACTTGTGGACTGCACGTGCTCCCACTGCTCATTGGATAATCGGCTTTTGCCTAATTAACACACCTTTCCCACTTGTCATGGGCATTTCACCAAGAACCACAATGGTGAACTGGTGCAGAGAGCAACCTTTCCTCTAATTTTCCACTAACAACTTCAGCGTTAAAAAGCAGTAAATCTTGGAAGCAAGTGTGTTTTTTCCCCACATGATCCAAGTCCTGAAGTTGAGAGCAGATCTCCCTGCATATGATCCCACACTTAAATGAGAACCAAATGTTTGCTTAAGGTTTTCCTTGCTGCAAGTGTGCTGTTTATTTTGATTGGACTGGAATGTCTCTGGACAATGCCAAGCAGCTCTGCGGAGGTGGAGAGGGGCATTTTCTCTTGCCCTCAGTGGATTGTAGGCCACATCAGAAGACTATTTATATGCCTGATTGGAGGGAGAAATGCTCTGGCAGTTTGGTTTGTTGTATACTTCAGGAAGAAGTCATTTGTCAGAGATTCAGTGCAGTTCTGCAATGTGTGATACATTTGTGGTGTTGACTGCTTGCTAAAACAATTTCTAAATACATTGTCAAAGTGCAGGTGACGACAATAAATCCTGTCATGTGCATTGTAGCTAAACCCCCCCCATTGGAGACATAAACATTATATAGTTACATTGGCTGGCAGATGATTTATTTCCATCAAACCTTTATGTAATAATTTTAATGTAATCTACTGAATAGTAGATCGCATGCTGAATACAAGTATCACACGGAATATCCATTGACTTAAGACACAACTGAAAAGAAAGATTTTAACAAACAACAAAATAGTTTACTACATCGAGATACATAAGTGTTATTTTATTAATCATAATAAACCTAATAATAATTTCAATAAGTATTTGTCTGAGATTCAGTAAATTTAATGGTAAATAGATCATTTCAATAATTTTAGTGTTTGCCATTTCTATCTGAACAATTGTGTGTGTATATATATATAAACATAGATATCCTATTTTTTAATGGTGTGTTTCATCTAGATTGTATGAATTGTTGTTTTCTTTACCACAGAATGGACTCTTCATATCTAAAAACTTTATATTTACATGGATTTACATATATTTACATCTCTGTGGAGGCCGCCATGTTTTTTACTGTCGTCCAAACTGGACAAACTAAAACCCTTTGAGTTTTCATGACAACTGAAGTTCACCACATGTTTTCTGTCATGTTGAGAAGGGGAGGGTGAGATGAGGAGACTTCAGCTGCAACATGCAACTTCACCTCTAGATGTCACTAAATCCTACACACTGAACCTTTAAATCCCCAAAAGAACATGATTATCCAGAATGAACAGGAGTCATTTGTTAAATTTCAATTCATTCCCCAACAGCTTTTAAGCCGCACTCAAACATGAACTCCAGAGAATGTCTGCACAATGGACTCCGGAGTTTCTCTGGAGTTGTCTTTCATGTATGAATAATGCAGCGGGAGATTCTCTGCTCAGACGTGTTCCCAACAACACAGAAATCTCCGGGGCGATCATGTGAGGTGGTGCAGCAGGAAATGCGGATGTAATGTATTAATTCAGCTGCGGATATCACGTTTTTATTCACTGCACATTGACACAGGTGTCGGCCTGTATCACCAGAGGGTCTGACAGCAGCTTTAATGTAAGGTAGATACTTATTAACATATGATTTGATGATATGATTTCCCTATTTTTGTTAGCTGTAAACAAACCACAAAGTTGCTCTTTATTTAGCCCATTGTTCATTAAAGCACATGTAAGTTCTCATACTTCCCTACTCATCTAACTCTACATAGTCACGGTTTATGTGCAGAGCTTTTTGAGATATTCATCACAATTTCCGTTGCCTCCACCCAAAATTGCACGGAGGTGAATGGAATTTAGTTTACGGTGCTCAAGCATCGTGAAACACACAAACACATGTTCTTTGGCATGAGACATTTGCATTCAACCAGAGGGTGTGGCAACAATATCTGTATCTGTTTGTTTTGTGAACAATGTTTCTCGGCGTCATGGCATCATGGGTCATTGCTGCAGCCATAGCCTTATTTTGTTTCTTAAATTTTATAAATCAAAGTAAAGCATAAGCTGAATATCACATTTCCCAAATATTTCAAAAACTGAATCAGAAAGCAGACTTGTAAGCAGTGGCTGTGTCCATATTTCATACTACATACTAATGCTGCGCAGCTGTAATGCCTTCACACTAGAAAAGTGGCAAAATAATCAAGTAATTAAAAGCCTTAAGCTGTAAAACAGATGCGGCAAATCCACACTAAACGTTCAAGCTGCAGCGCTTGTGACATGAGATTCACAAACTTCTCAAGAATAACAAAACAATACTCTTCATTTAGGGCCACACTCAGGAGTTTTTTTGCCAGACAAAAATACAGATGTCTTTTACAGATTGAAATTGTGTGACATGGTGCTATGCACAGTTGTAATAACATTCATCACCCTGCTGGATTGAATTATTGACGTCTTTGTAATGTGTGAATCAGGCTCTCGTGATTGTCAGATCACAGGAAAAGTGGATTCGGATCAGGACGATTATGATGCTGCACAATAGCTGAATTGACTGAATAGAATAGATGTCAAGTGGAAAATCATCAAAAAACATTCAGAGCTATTTTTGACGGATGAAAGCAAACGCACGTCAGAAAAAAAGTCTGAACAGAACCATCATTAAATTGACAGAACAGATGCCAAAAATATACTTGTCTTTTCATTGACTCCTTTGTCTCAGATGAACCGTTTCTTAACCAGGAACTCGTCTTAAAGCGTATGGATCAAATTACTCTGCAGCTCACTGGAGTTTTCCTCTGATCCTGTACCTTTTATGTATGGAACAATGACTGAAAGCTTTTAGATTCATGCTGTGTCTGCCAGCAGCTGGAGTACATTGTCATCCTTAATACTGAGCGAGAATAACACTGTTACACTGTTTTTCCATTTGCCTGCCACGGTGTGTTCCTGTGCCCAGGGAGAGCTTGTGTCCTCAAATGCCTGCTGGATATTCACCGAGTCTTCAGGGAGAACGAGCCGGCCTACATACTGAACGATCTGTACATCATAGACTACTGCATCTGGATCCAGAGGGTCAAGTAAGTTCAGCATGCGCACACACTCACCTCAGAGACCTTCACCTAGACTGCAGAGTCAAAGTCAAGGAAAGTGCCACTCAGCCTCCATGATGCATCAGTGCCTGAGAGGAGAGGATTAGACAAGTCATTTGTCATAGCAGGGACAATTCTGCGACCAAGCCAGGGATAGATGCAATCGCCATCGTCTCCATTATCATGTGTCAAAAGTACTATCAGTGAATCTGAAAGAGGCAGCTGCACTCTGCAGATTCTCTTTGTGCAGAACTTTTAATGTATATGTGTGTCTCTCTCTCTCTCTCTCTCTCTCTCTCTCTCTCTCTCTCTCTCTCTCTCTCTCTCTCTCTCTGTGTACTGGGGCCTCTCAAATTCTCCCTTCTTGTGATCATCCACTTGCATTTCAAGCCAATCTTGCAAAATCTGCACTTTTTCCTCCGATGATATAGGTTTGATAGCTCTCTCCTCCTCCCTGCACATATTTTACAATTACTTACACATTTTAAATCTGAGCCTGCGAGCGCATTACTCAGTAATGAGCTCTGTTTTACTCTTGGCAAGGGTTCAGCCAAGTGGTGTGCTCGTCTGGAAAAAGCCCAGTTGAAAAATGTGTGCCTGATGTTGTAGGCTCGGCGCCCAGATGCAGACACGATAAAAGGTCCAGTGGGATTTAGTGCCGTTTTTCAACCCCTCTCTCTCCCTCTCCTCAAATTCTCATTTCTACATTTTTCCAGCAGAAGTCTTGAATTCTGCTCTTAACGGATGGATGGATAGATGCTATGGATGCCAGGGGTCATAATGCATGGGAGCAATCAGCAGCTCAGTTTAGGGTCGGTGATCTCTTTTCTCTTCAGGACAGGGACCATGGAGAAGACACACCTTTAATCTTCCTCTGCAGGTCCACAGAGCTGCTGAGGCTCATTCGCTCCCTGAGATTCTCAATCAATCTCACTCTCTTCAGACCTGAGGGGCATTGGCACACTGCCTCTCCTCCCTGCATCTCTTCTCTTTTCCATTGCAGTGCATTGGAACTAAATGTCCGCTTGACCTAATGTGCTGACATCTTACTACGCCCCTGCATCGATCATTAAATGGATTAGTCCGAGCTCTGGTAGCACTGCCCTGTGATTGAATTGTTACATTTCCATCTTTCATGTATTGTTTCTTCCTTTCAATAATGAAAGCGAAGTTAAGTTTCTTTGTGTGCCCTCGTGTAAACTATCATTTTGTGAAAAAAGACATTCAGATCAGTGAAACCACTTCTATCACCTCCCACCACTTGAGAGAGCAACCAAAGCTTGTATTGATTTCTGTTGTGTATGAGTGTTCTGGTACCATAGACATTCCACACAGTCTCCAGTTGTGGTTTGTGAAAGTATGTTCCCATGGTTGTAGTGTTAGTGAAGTGGCCATTTTAAACCTACCTGTTTGGAATAGACTGATCTCTTGCCCTGTGTTGATGCTGAGGAGCTACTTCAGAATTATTCCTTGTCATCAGTGAGTTCTACAATATACTGACACTTTATACTGTTTGTCTGCTGGACGTTGTGTGCAGAGCCTTTTGTAAACAAGCTTTCATCCTACCTGGTTTTCCTGCAGTGAAGATTTTATCGTCAATATTTTTTATAAAATGAAACAGAATAAGCTATATTTCTGTTTATGTGTGGTGTAAATATAAGTTTGAATTATTTTTTTTATTATTTCAGAGGTCTGTTCAGTACGGAGCCCCTAAAGGGACATGGGAGAGAAAAAAAAAAAGAAACGTATCTCGTGCGCACAAGAAAGTATCTCGCGAGCACGGGAAGGTATCCCGTGCGCACATGAAAGTATCGCGTGTGCACGAGAAAGTATCTCGCGAGCACGGGAAGGTATCCCGTGCGCACATGAAAGTATCCCGTACGCACGCGAAAGTATCTCGGGCGCACGAGATAGTTTTCTGGTGCGCACGAAAAAGTATCTCGTTAAGCACATGTAGTTGACCGTACGCCTGTGCTCATTAAGATCATTAGCATCAAAGAATGGCTGCAGAAGTGGACTTATTCTCTTTTCTGAAAACGCGAAATATACCTGGCATGCAATACTTTCACGTGCTCACGAGATACTTTTTCGTGCGCACCAGAAAACTATCTTTATCCCGTGCGCACGTGAAAGTATCTCGTGCGCACGGGATACCTTCACGTGCTCGCGAGATACTTTCTCGTGCGCACGAGATACGTTTCATTTTTTTTTTTTAACCCATGTCCCTTTAGGGGCTCCGTAGTTCAGCAATCAATTCACAGCTTCTCAAAATAAAAGCTCTTTAATTCAGCTCAATATGAAGCATTACAGCTTCTTAATGCTTTTATTTAGAAGAAGTGATCCTATGAATGTTGTCGCCATAGTGGAGATCAGCACCATCGACTCCTGTGAATGTCTGTCAGTCTGATATATTAATATATTTATAAAAATGATCTCATTAAAAAAGTATCTGGCTGTGATTTGACCAAGTTGCCTGCCGCTACTGTAGATTATCAGAAGTTCAACTTTATCCGCAGACTGAAGGTAGACTGCCCCGCCCCCACTGCTGCTGCAGAGCGCTGATTGCCTGTTTATTTAAATCGTATCAATATTGAAAGTATTGCATGTCCTAATCTCACCAAATTCGACACTTTCCTTCCTCGAGCCATTAAGAGTACACGTCGAAAAGAACGGTTCATGAAATATGCGTTCCACAGACAGACAGGCAGGCGCTTGTGGAATTGGTGAGCAGACAATGTTTTTTCAAATCTAACGCAGCACAGGAGAACCAAGCCCCTCTGATGTTTGGAATGACAGGTTAACTCACACCATCTTCGCCTATCACACATGCGGTTTGTTGTGGCAGCTCTTTTGTGTCGTCTGACAGGTTTGATGTCAGATTGTGTAGCCATTGTTTCCTTCAGTGTGACATATTCCCCCGTGCAGGATTTGTCATACTCGGCTAAGTGAGTCGTCTCTGGGAGCCGGGCGGTAAAATGAGATGTAATCTATACCCCCCCCCCCTCCCATGCAATCCCTGTATCTTGTCACTCCCTGCCACCAGCGAGACAGACGTGATCAGCTGTGCATGATGGACACAGCGATTAATGGGTGTTTGTTGGCTCAGGGGTTGATTTATTTAGTCTCCTCGCTGTCCCACATGCATTTCAACTCCTAAAGTTCCTCTGACTGCCGAGACATCGGTCTCAAATTTACAACCTCATAAAGGCTTCAGCGTGATTTAAGCCCCGAGGCAGGCGCCCTCCTTTACTCTCCCACACAGTCAGAGGACAACCCTGCGCACTGAAATCAAGAGTGCAAACTCAAACCAATTTACTCTTTGCGTTGTCTCAGTCATGTGCAACTCGAGTTTAGTGTTTTTTCACTGCGGTGGTGATCGTTCCAGATTTTAACACACTCTTCCTCTGTGGAAACAGTTTTAACTTGGCCCTCGCACACCCATCCAGTCCTAATTATCTGTGAATTGTTAGCAGAGAGCATAATTCCAAATGGAGCAGCAGCGTCTCCAGTCCATTAGCCTCGGTGTTTCCTTTTGAAGGTCCTCAGATGCCAAAGCCCCTGCAGAGCTGCTGGACTGCAGACAAAAAAAAAAAGCGAGTCGCCTCACTTTCTCTCTTTGTCTTCGCTCCCTTTATCAAAAAGCTTGGAGGGAGGCCAACGTAGATTCATGGCAGCCAGCACAGACAAAGCTTATAAGCCTGGTGTTGTGTTACAGTACCTCAGTTAAATCAGAAGGGCTACAACTTCCTTTTTCAGTGCAGGTTCACTCAAAAACCACCCACCCACCCTTATTAAATGGGTCAATTAGATTCTAACTGAAAAAAAACATGGCAGCTTACAAGTGATGTGCTCCAGGGTGAATCTGAGAGGAGGAACGTGAGGTGAGTTTCCATATGATGTCATCGTTGCAAGGGGAAAACTGACTCTCTGGGTTTTCTTTTCTCTTTTATGGAGTGAATTTGTGACTTTTGGAAACAATTTGACAATTTGACAATCATACTTTGTTCCGAAGGCCGGAAAAAACTTCAAGGATGGACTGAAAATAACAGGAAAATTAAGTACTTAAGTAGTTGTGAATGGTAGGTGTGTGAACAGTCCTCAGAAACAACGGGTGTGGTCTCCACTGAAGAGATAGAATACAGTGAAAGAAAAAGAATGTGTGTTGTACCACATGAAAACAACAAGAGGCTGCCAAAAATGAAGTTGTAGACATTCATTCTTTCCTTTTTGGAGTATGCAGCAGCCCTCAGGCTCTCTTCCCGCTCTCTCTTCCTCCCTCATCTCATTCATCCTCTGCATTGTGTGCACGACAATGCCTTTGGTGAGAGTTGTCGGCAGCTCCCCCGCAGGGAAAAGCATCTGGAGCTGTAATAACTGGGAACGTCTCGGGGCAACAAGGTCAAATTTGGGGTCAGCGTGTCAGCTGAGACCGGTGGTCAAATGCCTCGAAAGTGCACTTGTGCGTGTTGGCGTGGTGTTACACCCCCCAACCCCCCACTGAGTGAGGCTGTTCACTTCACCTCAGTACACCTCTTTGTGTGATTGTAAAACATAAGACACTTATTACCCCAGATTTTCACTTTAGCTACTTACGCAATAGGTGTTTTAATTTTACTCGTGCCCAAGGGCTTTTTACTGGAGTATTAAAATTAGCCATCTGAGGATATTTCTGTGGTGCAATGCTCCCTCTGTGGAAGGAAGTGGGGGATTTGTGCTCTAGCCAAGCCTGGCAGCTTTTCTGATCCCCCTCCCAACCGCACAGCTGATGTGACACCCAGATGTTCCCTGGAACCAGGCATCCTTAAACAGCTGTCAAACGCCCGTCCTGAAGGCTTTGAAACAGATAATGGAGCTGCTCTATCTGATGTTAGCCTCAGCACTGAAGGAGATCCTAGAGGCCCCGCTGGGGAGAACAAAGACACAAATGTCTCCCAGCTAACGGGGATAAGTAGTACAGATTTCCTCCCAGCATGATGCCACTGCAGCTT